GTTTGCTTAGTCGAAGTTGCTGACGTTTCGCCAATCATCCTGCTGGCTGCTTCAGAGCTTGACTTGACAGTTTCAGTTAAGCTCTGAAAACGCCAGCAGGATGATCGGCGAAACGTCAGCAATTTCGACTAAGCAAAAACCGACGCAGGAGGAATCCACAAGTTTTGTAAAAAGCATTTTTTTTTACTGTATTTTTTATTATATTGTCCTTATGTACGGGCATTGTACACTGAAGCCTAAACGTCCCGTATCTCTCTAATGAGCCCTGGTGAAGGCATATCTGGCTTAATTTGATTATTTTCAGTTTTATTCTAATATTGCTTTATTGCGCATTCATTGCGAACCACCCTGTATGGAAACCAATATTACGCACTTTCATTTGAATGGGAAAATTTATTGTTTGATTGTAATTTCATAGATTTGCCCAACGTGTGCCGTTCTTATTGAACCAACCTTTGCCGAAATGTGGACATTTTATATGAGCGTAGATAGTTTCCAAAAATTTGATTTAATCGATTTATTTTTAAAACCTAATCACTAAACCGCATCCGTATCTTATTACTTCTTATTTAAAAAAAAATCGCGGCAAGCGTGTCCATATATCTCTGCAAAGTCACAGAAATTCAATAAACGTTACCAGTTTGATCCCCCGGCTTTTTCAACCCCCCGTCGTTATTTCTGTAGTATCCGGAACCGACTCCGGATTTCACTTCCAGTCGACTGTTTATTTTTACTTCCTGCATATCGGTCTCCTGTCATGCATTCGAAAAGACTCCGCGGAAAACTCTTGTCTATATACGATAAAATATAGTAATTTTATATCTTCGTGTACGAGGCCAATTTTGGCGTTTTCTTTCAGTCACGCAAATGCTGTTTTATTTTTGTAACTTTATATGGTCGCTTCTCAAAAAAGAATGCTTGGTGATTGATTGGTCGAACCTGTCGCCCTGACTATTTTGAAATGTCTACCTAATTCGTAACTAGACTAAAACAATCAATAAGGAGCGTCTGGAAAATATGTGTTAAAAGATGAACCGGCTCAAAGCGTGTCAAAAGCCAACATTCACCAAAAAAAGGTGATGCTCTCCGTTTGGTGGGATGTCAAAAGAATCGTTTTTTTTGAGCTTTTGCCGGACAATACAACGATTAATTCAGAAGTCTATTGTCATCAACTGGACAAATTGAATGATTCACTTAAAGAGAAGAGGCCCGAATTAATCAACAAAAAGAGTGTAGTGTTCCGCCAGGATAATGCGAGACCTCACACAAGTTTGGTCACTCGCCAAAAACTTTTACAGCTTGAATGGGACGTACTGCAACATCCACCATATTCTCCAGATCTGGCGCCTTCCGACTACTATTTGTTCCGGTCCCTGCAAAATTTTTTGGATGGCAAATGAAGATGTCAAAAACGACCTGAACCAGTTTTTTGCCAGCAAGGACCAAAACTTTTATGAGAGGGGAATTATGTTACTGCCAGAAAGATGGCAAAAGGTGTTGGACCAGAATGGCCAATATATAATTTAATAAAATATTTATTCATTATACGAAAACTGTCTTTCATGTTCTCCAAAAAAACGAAATTGCGTTACACTTTTTTCGTAAATTTTGCAAATGAAAATGGCATACTAGCAGGTCTGTTGTGTAACCTATTACCCCCACTAAATTTCTAAATGGTCTTAAAACTTATTTCGTTTAATAAACCCATTGTTTTGCATAATTTATTCCTTCTTATTCATTGTTTTGCACGATTTATTCCTTGTTATTCATGTTTGATAAGAATTCTAGTTTTTGAGGTAATTACTTAATTAAAATGATCATTAGTAGGTAACACTACACAATCTGGCACATTAATGGCCGTTGCACTTTATTAATTTCATTAATTTATTTTTGATATACTGGAAAACAGAATATCCCTGTCGTGGAAGCCAATATAACTTAATAAATATTTTCTAACTATTGCCTGTAAATTTTAAAACAAACAAATCGAATTATTTTAAAAAATTGACTTATTAACTACAGTTTGAAGATCAACAAAATAATGTTAATGGCCATATCAGTTGCAAGTACTTTTCCTAATAAACAATTTAACTTTGAAATTTTCGCTGTTTTGAGATGTATGTCAGAAAATAATAAAGTTATTCTGGTGATCATATTCCGAAAGGGATGCCTAAGATATGGCTGATAGCGAGGCAGAATTTCATCACGCCGATGTCCATATTGGTTAGTAAATTATACCAAGTGAAACTCTGGGCTTAGGGGAAATATGAACTTCGTCGCTTTGAAAGGCGGGGGTGAATAACATAGTGAACATAGTGAAAAACTTTATAAAATGTTTTTATGCAAAATTCAGTAAGGTACTAAGGTACGAATGGTTGCACTAGTAGGAACGGGGCACAATAAGTGGCTGTTAACTTAAAAAATTGAAAAACAGTAATTTATTACGCTGGTTGTACGTAGCAGATTAAATTATGTTTCCTATGGCGTGGTTATTCCCAATAAATTGTATTTTTAATGTTACAGGATATTATCCTAGCACAATTTTGCAACAAATTTGTGCTGTGCTGTTAACTTTAAAAATTAAAAAACAGTAATTTATTAGGCTGCTTATCAGAATTAATTACGTTTCCTATGATTTTCTTGGAAATGAGAACAAAGTAGAAACCTGTGTGGAAAGTTTTGTAAAATTTTATTGTTTCTGGTTCCAAACCTCCGCTCAATTTAACAATAATTAAATAAATCAAATTAACGATGACTCAAGCTAATAAATAGGATCTTAAGCGCAATTTTGCAACAAATTTGTGCTCGTGCTTTGCGTAAATAGTTCAATTTTCTTCAGTTTTCAACAACTGTGCTATTGAGGTGAATTAATTCCATAGCATTCTTAGTTGAAATGGCAAAAAGAACAACCGCTCTCTTTTTTTGCAAGGAAATCCCGATATTTGAATATAACTCAAAAACGAAAAACGATATAAAACAGTGGTTTTCACCGTTTCGAACAATGTAATTTTGAAATAAACCTCCACTGCACTCCCATTGATTGACATAATTCTTTACCTCAACGCTAACACATTGTCCATAACGATTATCATGTTGCGAACAAGAAACCTCAATTAAGGGTCGTCTCAGTTGCGCAATAAGGCTTATGATGAAAATCGACTTTCCTCGCGGAGGGCTGGCGGCGGCGGAATCTTCCTTCCTTCCGGTTTTTAACCAATGGCGGCGCCGTAACCAAGGTAACGAATAACGGAAGTTACCCTATGAACGAGTTCCACCTACGAGTTAATGCGCCCGGGATTATATTGTCTTTTTAGACGGCGAACCCGCACACACATTCACCATAAAGGAAAATTACGATTAAAGTGATATACGGTCATATAAGTTTCCAAACGGCCGGTACAGACCTCCATGAAAAATAGGCACGGGAAAATTTATATCTAATTCAACGAAAAAGACGAGGAGGATTCAGAAGGAGGAGAAAGATTTCGTTTAAAAGAGAATTTGGATATAAGCTAGTAGGCGATCGATAAACACCGAGCCACCTGCGTTTATTGTTTTGACGAGGCATCACGAACACAAAGAAAGAGTCAGTAATAATTTTATTTTGTCTAAGAGGTGTGGTGAAATGAATATTATTCAACACCCAAACATCTACCACAAATTACCCAAACATTTACAATTTACAAAATATTTTTGCTGCTGACTATGACTTCGATTGATGTTAACATTGAATTACATAACTTAACAACATAACTTAGCCATTCAATAATTATATACGTACTGTATACGTTTAGAATAGAGATCATTACTAAAATATAAATACTATAAGAAACATATTATTTGAAGCCAGCATGACGGCATTTCAGAAACGTAACGAGCCAACTTACACCGTAGAAAGGAATAGGATTTACTTACTGTATAAAAGCTCTACCTACATATTGAAGCAAGGTACGAAATTTTTACCAACGGTTCACAAAAAAAACCGTCGCATTGAAATAAAATTCAATCGGACCCAATCGCAAGAGCGGCTGCGCAACGTGTGAGACAAAAATATGGTTTTGACTAGATTTGGTTAATTGCGGAACATTTAGTTTTGAATGGTTTCTGGCAAACTCAAGCGATACGGATTGTCCTCATCCTGTATTGGTTGACTAGTCTGTATTAACCCGGTTCAGAACTGAATTATAACGTTGATCACTATAACAAACATTCCAATGTTTTAAAACATTCCGTAGACATTTTAGTTATAAAATTTTAATCAAACAATTCGAATACGATTATGTGTGTTACGACGATGTCGGTTAAATACATTGCATCCCTTCGGTCTCAAATAAATTCGTTTTCGATTGTAAACAAGTCAATATATTCTCTTTTACGTTCTAATCGTACGTAGTCAGATCAAGACGCGACCATTAGAGAATGAGAAACAGTCAGTTGTAATGTTAAATTCGAACAGTTCCCCTTTTCGAGATAAATTGATATGAGAAAACTTTTGCGTTTATTCTTGCCAAGTACGATGCTTTTATTGCCTAAATGGGTTCGTTTTGCTGTTACCTTTGAAAAATTAAGTACCATATTACGCCTTTTCCATTATTCGTTTCAAAACTCGAAAAAATTAAAAGAAATCGATGGCAAGGTCACGCTTGCCATTTTGAAATTCACATCAGTAAATAATAAAATTTGTTCTGGTGATCGCGTAGCCACGCAGCTACCGGTAAGACGAATTTGCATACCAGAACATTTACGAGATTGAAAAAATGACTAGCAAGCTTAACTAGAATAATTTGGGAAGCAATTTAATTTTTAAGAATTTTAATTTTAATTTGCGCCACGGGCAAACAGGGGCTTTTCCATCTATCTAACTTATTACAATGACCAACATTAATGAGTGGGATGCTAGAAAAAAAAGGACCCAATAAGTAACTGTTAATATGTTAACTACGATATGGTCTTTCCTATTAATTTTGGGGGTTATAAGGGATAGAATAGAAACGTGCGTATAAAATTTTGTAGAGTTTTATTGTTTTTTTGTTCCAAACCTTAGATAAAATTAAAAGTAAAATAATTTAATTAATTTAACGATGACATAATTGTTTTTCATCCACTTGCAGTTTATTTGGATGGAATGGAGAGACACGATTTCTTGTATGCAAGTGAATGAAACGATCCGTTTAATGAATTTTTAGCATTGATTGACTTTTTGTATATTATAAGGCACTTTGGTTCTATTATATTGGTTGATAATGTATAACGTATAAGTATGTATAATTGTGAACACTTTTTGTTGAAATATTTTTTCAATAGACGATCGAATATTTCAGTCGGCTAGTGTGTAGTCAGGCATTTCGTACCGTTCCGATGATCAAAGATATCACCGAATTCTTAGTGGTGCAAACTTAGTAGACAGCGGCTGAAAATTAATTGACACAATAGAACAACGATAAATATAAATTAAAATTTTATATCAACTTCAAAGTTGTGGACAAATAACAGTACACCAAGAACTGACAATTGAAGTCTATAAGCCAGTTTAGTTTAGCTCAAACGTTGATAATAACAGAGGTGTAGCGCCTCCTTAACTTCATTTTGAACCAATATCGTTGCATGAAATTCCGCGATTGCGATTTTTTGGAGGTAATTACGCTCTGTATATCCTTTGGTATTGTTATTCATCCGAGCTGTGTAACGCAACGCAAATTATATGTTTTATAAAAAGTCAAATTGAGAAATGCTGGGGAAGTTATACATGCAAGCATCGGTGGAAACAATTTTAGGATCGTTAAAGTGGAGGAAAGAATATACCAACTTATTAGAGTTTCATTAAATATTACTTTGGAGGTATTTTATAGCATGGTTTTGAAAATGTCAACACTTTTCAAATACTCTTATTATTGCGGAGGCGAATGTATCTTTTTGCTGCAAAAGCTTTGACCTAGACGATTCAACAATAGAGTTTTAGAAGGTAACAAAAAACGATTACAAAATAACTGTTTTCTATGAAAGATTTACTCCTCAGCCGTATAGGGTGACAGTAAACTAAACCAAAAATAGATGAACACAGAAAATGTATGTTTCTCGGAAAACAATATTTTATGTTATGTTTATGAGTTTTTTTAAAAAATTTCTTTTGTTTGTTATCCCATTGTGATCCTCTATATATTTTGAAAATTACGACAAATTAACAAAATTTAACACAGTTTGACTAAAACAAAATGGATGTTAAGTCTTCAGTTATAGTCTAGGTCAATGCTTCGGCATAATTATGAAACTTGGCCTGCGCGGCACTTACCGAACGGCCTGATGGGGTGTTTGTCCCACAGGAACGTCCTCTTGACGGGGGATAGGTAGGAGTCGCGCAGGTAAAAAGGAGACTTGCCCCAAGGACTGTAGGAAGAAGCAGGCCTGAGGGGCGAGTCCCACCAGAAGGGATCGCGAGTTACGGCGGAGATCGGCAGGGAGGGAGAGGGATTCAGGAGATCGTTGAGCAGACTCTTACTTGGTGGTCGGCTCCAAATGGGTTGACCAGCGTAGTTAAATGCTGCGGGACGATTGGACTAAAAGAGAGAAATACTTGTTAAAAACGGTCCAAATTCACCTTGAAACCTACCTTGGGAGGTGTAAGGCTTGGTGAGCTGCCACTTAATGGCCACAGAGTTGGGTAGAGTTTGTCCAATTCCGCCAAGCGGTCCAAGTGGTTCAACCACGAGCGATGGGGATCGTACTTGTCAGCAGATGGTGGTGGTCTCTTGCTGTACACCAGATAGAGCGGGTAGCGCGAGAATGGATAGGTTGTATGAAAAATGCTGCTAGGCCATTGGCTGGGCTCGCGACCTTTTACGCGATCGATGTGGTCTCTCCAAGCGGAATCAGCGTCAAAAGGTTTCGGCTTAGTCACATGAAATACTAAAGCATGTACGATTAAGTTACTGTGAACTAATATACCTGATATTGTTTGAATTAGTTTGGTTAGTTCCTATGAGTCAAATATTAGATAGTAAATTATTTGACCTATGAGAAGTTCAGTTATGAAATAATACTGTTTCGTATTTTCGTTACTTTTAATTTGTCTCGAAATGGATTTAAGTCGTTGGTTCATCAAATTTGTTTTACTAAATTGAATTTTTTATGAAATATTGGTTTCTCGCAATTGCGAATTCACCAACAACATTTTACCAAGCTTGGCTTCTTTGTCATCTTATTTACGGGGTTAACTGAAGGGCTAAACAATCAAAAACGCCGGAAATGAGAAATATAATACATGGAGTACAGTTAGTAGGCCAAGCGACACTTACAACGGGCATCCGAAAAGCTATGGTTCTTACCTCCAAGGCGACACCCTATGTGAATCCGATTCCCTCAAAAAATCCTCGTCGAAAAAAATGCGCAAGGAAGGGGATCGAATAAAAAAATGTGGATCACCCTGGCAAATGCTGGAGCAGCAGGACTTGTTAAGAAGCAATGCTGTTTATTTTGTTGGACGAAAAGGAACGAATTGTCGTTAAACTAGTAATTTTTTGGTTAAAAATGCAGTGACCGCCCTCTGCTTAGAATTAGGTGCTTTCGACCCAAGTTGATAGAATTTGATAGTAGGTAAGTATTGTTTTTTTTTTTTAAATTTTCACAGCGTTCCACCACCGAAGTGAAATTTGTAAATAATATAAGTTGGTCAATTAACAAATGAAAGCTCAGAGCTGAGACAAGTGAATGTGATTGGAACTGTAAAATGTCATTTCGGTGGTCGAACGCTGTGGAAACTAAAAATAATAATACTTACCTACCAGCAAACTATCAACTTTTGTCGAAAGGTGTAGTATTGATCCAAATTAATTCCAGATTAGGTATAAAATTTAGAGAGTTCCTCGATTTTTGAAGCGTCCCGAACATCATTCGAAAGAAATTCTCATAAAGCTATTTTTTTTAATTATTTATTAAAAGAAATAGAATAGCTTTTATATCAATCGCTTAGTCGGACCGCTTGAGTAAATTTGTGTTCATAAATTACCGAATGATATTTGAGTTGGATATTTCGAAACCGGCTAGAAGGAACATCCTTGTTATTATGTGGTTATTGTGGTTATTGTCCTATTAGCATATGGTGTTGTAAAAGTTTCTTACGACAGGTTTTGGCAATATTTTTTATTCAATTTTTGTTAGTAAAGCTACATGCCAGTCTCCGTGACCTTTACTGGACACCACAACTTTACTCGATAGCATTAATAGGGACATATACAATGTAAACACAAAAAATAGCACAACATATTAAGGTTATAGTTGAAAATTTGTAACTATTTTCATTTATGTATTGGTGCTCCTGTATTTGTTAAATCGCGGTCACTGCCTTCTTTACCAGAAAAAGAGAATATCGTCTTTTACATATTTAGTCAGCTCAAGCGTTTGCGGGGCTCACACACTCGTTTCGGCTGTTTAATTATATTTATTGTTATATGCGTAATCGCTGTACAGTCATTATTATTATCAAATATAGTTACAATAACATTGCATATTGTGTATTAACCTAAGTAACTGATAAATACAACAAACAAAACTTGAGATATATAAATTATGTCTTGCATACGACACGAAAGCTCAAAACATATACAATATTAATAGTAAAGGCACTGATTCGCGGCACATTGGATGACGTTTGATTGATGATGGAAATTTAAACCTAAGAAGGTTTTTCGAAAATAGAGTTGCCAAATCGTCTTGTCCGAAATTTCATTTTCGCTGAGAATTTGAATGGAAAAAAAATTGGTGGAGATCTTCTTAAGTTCATTTCCATCTTCTGGTTACATACCCAATCAGCGTCTATATGTCGACTTACCAGGCCTGTATCTATCCAATGAGCCATAGTTATGTGGGTAGATTGGTCTCGGTGAATATCCGTATGTGTCACGGTGAAGAGGATCGTAACGATATCCGGGTACGTGGATACGTTCGGCGGCGTGACTGGGGTCATCGTAGATGGATTTGCCGAAAGGCCACCCCGAAGAAAGCTCGGGAAGATCGCTGAGAGGTCTAAAGATGCCTCTCGGTCTAGCGTGTACCGGATCGGATGCCCTTAAATCGTCGGATCCTAAAAGAAAATCAATTTGACATTAAAATCTCGAAAAAGTGAAACTGAAACTGGGAAAATTGGGCAAAACATCTGGAGAAAAATAAAGAACCTGGTGGTCCCTGGTAGACCAGGCACGTAATAAAATTAAAGAGGACCAATCCAAAATTTTACCTTTAAGAGACCTAACAAAAGACTGCCAGAATTTGGCCTTTTTTGAAGGGGTCTCATTAAGACTAATCATTTCTAAATGACTTTTGAAAGACATGGTGACTTCTGTGTTGTTCGGCTATTTCTCTACTGGTTAGTGAGTCGTTCGATTTCTGAAAAAAAAGATCGCTTTACTACGTAAAACCGTTTAAACATGATACACCAACACTTGTGTTTTGCAGTGAGTCAGAGTTGACACCTACGTTGCGCCAAATTCAATTTGAAGGTAGGCGCTAACTGATCAACGAAATGTAAACGATTGCAAGGACGATGGAGAATAAATATGTTAGAAGTACACATGTGCTGTGGAATTCCATAATCGTAATTGTGGTCAGTAAGGTGGACGCCGCCGACTAATTTGGTGTGACTGTTGGGATGTCGGATTCTGATTGGTTTCGGAAGATGCGCGCGTCCTTTCTATTTTTACGACCGCCACAGTCTGATTTGGCAAACGTAGGAGGATTAAAAATGACATATATGCTGCTGCGAGGCGTTTCAGTTGGCGATGACGCTATTGATTGTTTGATTGGGGCGTGTATTTTATACAATGTTTTTTTTTTCATAAAAGAATAAAAAAAAGGAACAATTGAAAGTGTTTGGTTATTATTACCAGTAATTACTTCAACACTGAGAGAAATAAAAAGAATTTAATCAAAACTTAATAGCAATTAAGGGTGCTATTCATTTTATATTTCCAAAAACATTGCGTTTTTATTGACATTGCCATTCAAAATATTAATAGAAATATATATAATGATCTGGACGTTACGTATTATATTTCATATTTATTAATAACTTTTAGAAAAGTTAAGTTTTTGAATGTTTCCTTTTGTGTTTTGGATGATTGCGAAAGTTCAGCAGCTTTCTCCGTGATTTTCGCCTTGCGTGTTAATTTGAACCCACGCTGGTAATGAAATTCGAAATCCGCGAAAAACAAAAGCACATCAATATGGGCCACGGAATGTCGAAATCCTTGTCGAAAATAGAAACGTATAATTAGATCAACCTCCACGCGAAACCGCGATTCAGGCTGACGTCATCTGTACCAGATTATGTTTATGCGAAAATTGTCGATTCTCCCTTTTTAGATGGTGTTGACATTTATTTTTATTACTCCGGGCGATTATTCAGATTCATCGGCAAAAAGTTGGTAGTGAGCTGCAACATTCGTCAAAAGACAAGTTTGTGTGCTTAAATTAGAGGAAAACTAAATTTGAAAAAATATCCAAAATTTTTTTCAAATTTTATGCATTACCGAATTTGGTTGCTATTTTTGATAACAATTCCTGTTTGATGATTTACCGTGGAGAATTAAGCTGCAACATAGTTGCGCTAGGGGTAAATTTGTAAATAAAACAACTGCTAAAAGGAGTCCAAAAAATATTTTTTGTTAAATGATGTTTAATGAAAAATAGGGAAAATATGTTAAAAAACCGCCAAGTAATGGGAAAAAATTACATAGTGTCAGCCACAAAAAGTAAAACGACACTTTTGCCTTTTTCCTCGAAAATATTCGAAAGGTTTGGGTGGCCAATTTTGATTTGAATTGAGTTGATGCAACAAGACTTGTTCATCGTTGAATTTTATGCAATGCATGCAATGGGATGCACGTCCTTGGAGGTAAAGGTACAAAATACACTGTTTCAAAATCTGTAAGGAGTGATTCGCACGTACTAAAACGGGCAGTACCAAGTGGTTGCATTAACATTTTTTCGGCGTGTATCTGCGCAGCTATTTTTAACCTGGCTTCACTTTAGCTTTACAAAAATAGCAACGACGTGTTATATAAATCGTTATGGTAGCGAAATTTTATATGATTCGCTTTTCTGGTTAAAAAAAGTTCTCAGTAGTAACTGCTCATTCCAAGTTCTGTAGTCATGCATTAACATTTAACAGGTGACCACGCATCGAATCGAATTTGGCTCAGCTTTAGATCGTAGAATACGTTGCCGCACAAACAGTAAAAGCCTTTTCTTGAATGTTGGTGCTACAATAGACCGTTGGTCGCGTGACGCGGTTATTTTTTTTTTCTCGAAACACGTTTTCAGTATTTCAAGGATGATCGCGAAAAATATTTACCGTTTGACTTAATCAATCACACCTTAAAATAGATCCTGTCGGTTATATAAATCTGGACGCGCGAATTTGTAGGAAATCACAAAGTACTTACAAATGCCGAGTAGAAATTAAATAAAAAAAACTTTTGAACTCACTGCAAACTCACGTATAAGCTGAGGGTGATGGTGAAATGGATAGATTATCCGGTACAAACCTACTAAGTTGGCGAAAAGCGAGTCGTCTTCTACGACTGCTGTAGCGTTCGGCACTGACTGCGTCGCGGCGCTCCGGATTTCGGGAGTCTACAGCGTCCCTCGTGACGTAGAGCTGCGGGGGCAGCTTTCTATATCCCGACTTCCCGCGGATCCAAATACGAATCGCATTTTCGCTTTGGAAAACTATCATTTCGACGTAATACTTTAACCGAAATAGCATGAAGCGTTTATATTTCTGGTCGATTTGTTTTTCTTTACGCCATTACTAAAATTGTGTGGCGGAAATATTCTGAATTAAAAAAATGCCGCTTGCCAATATATATTAACGGTTCAGTAAGTAATTTTACTTTTCAGTAACGCAAAAAAAAATGGAGAAAGTGGCAATAGGAGTCGATTTTCAAATACAAGAAATGACTATTTTAAAAGACCTTATAGCTAAGCAAAAGGAATCTTTTCCTTATAGTTGGTGCGTGTGAGATGGTGGCAACTAACTTTACTTTCACACTAAATGGTGTCGTAAATAAAATTCCCTTTGATGCAACTTGTCGGTTCGAAAGTAGTGATAATGTATTAACCAATCCGAGTAACACAGCATTAAGCATCACGAAAATACTTTGGAAATAGTATCACATTTTTCGCGTTGCAAAAGAAGATGTGATCAGAAGAAAGTCATAAAGTTTTACTGTAAATTCTATGCCGTTTTGATGTAATTGTCAGTGCATATGTCAAAAATTCAACTGTGTACTACTATTGTAAAACTTTGCCGTAGAAACTGAATATCTCCTTCAATAAAGTTTTTCTCAATATTAACATTAATTTATTATAATTTTTTTAATAATTTACGATGAGACGAAAAGTCAGTATAATCTAAAAATAATGCAAAGCTTACTAGCTAATATAGTAGCTAACAAAAGTAGCAAGACAATCATATTAATTCAATTGATATTATTTATAGTAATTCAAATTGCTGAGTTATTTTTTATGTTGAATTTTGATTCATTTCACAGGCCAGGTATTTTTTATATGATTTCAGCTATGGGGATCGAACCAATACGAAAATAATGCTTTTTGGTTAGTTCAGGCAACGTTTTTTAATTAACTTTTGAGGTTTCATATTATTGTTTTAAAAATAGGAACATTACGTAACATTATAAAATTGCTACATCACTGGCACACATTTTACATGATTACCAGAATATTGGCGCGAATTCTCCGAAGGTAAAATAAAGTTTCTGGGTTTCCCAAATATGTAGTTCAAACATTGCCGCGTGGGATCGTGGCAGCATTTCCTGAAGGAACGCATTGTGCAGTTAAATTTCTTTGACATTGTTAGAATTTTCCAGATATACGTTTTGCTATATGCGTGGTTCTTTTGTGGTCAAGAAATTTAGACGTAATGTACACCCCTGTTGAACCAACAATACTAGGCTAGTAAAAATTGGTGATCAAGACACACTTTGGGCGCCACATATTGTTTGCAAGGGTTATGACATCGGAATAATGGAGCCAGACGATCTCCACCTTTTGAAATACTTATAACATGGAGCAATTGCAAAGTAATATTCGTGGGTATAATACTAACAATTTGAAAAGCATTGTTTATCCGAACTTCAAGTCTACAATTAGGTCAATGCCATATGGTCCTTATTACAATCCAGCCAATTTAGCCACCAACAGTTTTTCTTAACCTGATATAGATGAAAATACCTTTAATGATGTTGGAGTGTGTCTCAGCAACCACTGTTATTTTCACAGTGACTTATGAGAGGTTTATCTAAGGATCTTTCCGAAATTTTAGCATCCAGACTTTGAAATCAAAATTTACTGGCACAATACATTAAACTCGCACATTTCAGGAAGCGCGAGCGCGTCAAGTTATACGCTGTTCATTGTACCGTTATTGCACATGAAAAAATGCGACGAAAATCTAGAACTACTGCTTGAGAAAATACAAGGACGATGGTTCGATGGTTTGCGGTGACATAAAAATTGTGGGACTCCTAATATCAGAATATACGAATTAGCCCTGTGTTTTGTCTGAGTGAGAAACAAACAGCAACGTTTTGTGAAAAATAACTGACCAAAATGGGTTAAGTTAGCTCCCTGCTCAAAAAATATTATTCACGATAATCTCATCGATCCACACCGTTGCATATTAAATTAGGACTGTTGAAGGAGTAGCTTTAAATAAGGAAAATTGTGAAAAATAAAGCGATTAACGGAAGAAGACCTTTTGAATACCGTGATCGTATATCCAAATTACAAAGTTATTGGAGGAAACATGTTAGAGAAATTTAGGGAAATGGATGCGATATGAAACTACACTTTGTACACTCACACCTGGACTGGTTTCCAGAAAATTTTGGTTAGCTTTGGTTAGTTTGAGTGAGTGACGATCAAGGTGAGAGGTTGAACCAAGATATAAACGAATTGGAACGCAGATATCAAGGTCGATGGAACGTTGCAATGGTGGTGGAAAGTTTTTCGGCCTTGCTTGCAACTTTGTTAGTTAATTTAGATATTTTAATTTGGTTTTTGTTCTTGTACTAATAATAAATGTTTAAATCAACCGGATTTTCATTTATTAATTCTTTAAATGTTGATAAAAACCTTACGCGATAGAGGAAAATGCTTATCAGATTTGAATTTAGGAGGCTTATATTATATAGAATCAAATATCAGATCGAGATCAACTTGCAAAAGTTTAAAAATTGTTTGCCCGTGTTATCGTGTACTTTACATCAAACTTTCTGATGGATATATCGGTATCGAGATCTTTTGAATTATGCCAACAATCAGATCACGTTTTATAGAAACATGGTTTGTAGTTTGCTTAAAAAAGTTCGAAATAATGATTACACAATCAGTGTTGGCAACAAATACGTAAGTATCGTGCCAGGTTTTATGCACCTAATAATAATAATGAGGGGAATCGTAGCTGGAGTGTAAAACATTTTTTAAGCAAGAATAATGCCCGATAAAACACTCCCAATATGCAGTAAGTTATCCGAAAATTAACCGAGGAATAATAATAAAATATAAATTCCATAGACTATAGACTAACTCGTTTTACATTTTTCCAGTTTTTTTTACTTGCTTGTGCTTTTTGAGGGCAAATCGTTTTGCTAAAGGATGATGATGCTAATTGTTTATCCTTCTTTCAACAAATTGGTTGACTGTTACAATCTTGGGTAAGTAGAATTATAAATAAAAAATAAATCAGTGTATTGTTATCCTTAATCGATTGATATAGTTATAAAAATTTAAAACAAAATAACTTAAATCTATATCTATAAAAGGACTTAAATAATTAAGAGTTTTAAGTTATTTTTTACAAATATTTCAAGAAAATATTGTTTAAGTAAATTTAAGTATTATATATGTTGATGAAGTAATTAAACAACGAGAACACTCAATTCTATCATTTATATCAATGAGCAAGAGAAAGACGAGAATTGCCAGTAGTCGTCTCTTTCTAGTGTAAAATTTGCGTCACTTTTCTATCACGTCCAATGTCACTACCACAAGTAAGGAAAAAAGGTTTCATAAAAAACGGTGACGGTAAATATTCTTTTGTTGTTAAATTATTAATTAAGTTAAATTTTTCTGTGATTATCAACCACCGTAAATGTTTGACAGAGAATATTGTTATTCCAACTGAGTTGCTTGCCAGAAAACGCATGCGTAAACTAAAAAAAACGCGAGTATTATTTTTCGAATATTTTTAAATACACTGATCGGTTTTGCTAGCAAAACCCGCGTCAGGAGAATTTTTGACGTCACGTAATTAATGAACCTGCATTTTTTTGCATGATTTTTAATTAAAAATTTATGTAAATGTGTCGCAAGCGTAACGATATTAAACACGATATGTGTGGCGATATTATCAGCAAGCCGTACTAGAATCCGGCTTACAAAAATTTATTATTTTTGTATTTCATCATTATTGATTCTATATTTAAAAATATGAGTGTTGCCAAGAGCGCGAAACAAAACGCGATGTTTTTATAAATTATTTTAGATTTATGGTAGTCTATAAAAGCTATAAAAAATCTTTTGCGCGCCCAGATTACGCTCATTAAAAATTCAATTTTCCAGGAAACCGGAAAATAACAAAGTTTTACGCCAGCGACGAGGTAATTGCGGTTTCGGTATATTTAAGAAGATTGCCTTGTTTTCATAAAGAGATCTGGCTAAAATTTTGCATTACTTTTCGATATTACACTTCCAAAACGTTTCAGCAGCTGCATAAATAAAAAAAAACATGAATGAAATTATATGCATTTCATTCCAAATCCTGCGATCCTACACAAAACTAACTTTTGTTGACTTACTATTGCTAATGTTTTAAGTAGATTTTGGATTTTGTGGATCGTGGATTTTCCCATTATGTTAACCTGTCAATATTTATTGACAAACATCTTGATGTAAAGAAGTAGTTAGAATATAGAATAGAATATTAGAATATTAAATTTTATTAATTACATAAAATTTTTGTTTCCAAAATCGTAAAGGGTCCCATTCTACAAAACTTTTTAGTACCTGAAGCAAAAATAAAAACTATGGAAAATTGATATTATTTTAAAATCGCAGTAAACGATTTCACGCGATTTTTGAATAATTAATTCGATAAAATGCAGATTGAATGAAACAAGTGGGTCCTGTTCTTTAAAGATAGGCGACCCAATTCCGCTTACACGTATATGCGTAATGGCCTTTGCCAACGGAAACTGCTTAAATATCGAGATTTGGGTCAGCCGCGCTTGTTCATTTTCACGTATACCAAATTAACTCTAGCGATGTCTTGACCTTGCTTTTTGACATTCTGGACTCCGGATTTGGATTGTTGCAGGGTGGTTTTAAAGTTTAATGTAAAGAAATATTTATAAATAAACAACAAATATGTTTATTTTAATTCATTCAGGCGAAATGTAAAGTAAATTTTTTTGAACCTGAATTAAAAAAAAATCTAATTACAAACTCCGAATAATAAGAATAAGAATAAAATATAAATAATTATACAAAAAATATCACTATTATATCATTATAAAATGCAAAAATTGCATCGTCCTCAAAATAGTTGCAAAAAAATTCATATTTCATATATATACATACGTTTATAAGGTGAGCCACAAACACAGAAGGCGACTTTAAGACCTCAAGAACTTAACAATTAGCAACAAATCTGAACCATAACTGATGATAAAATAGTATGGCAATTCTAGTTGAGTTACAATTTTTTAGGTTATTTTATTGTAACTAATATCAAAAGCCAAATATTTTATATTTATATAGACGTTTAATCAAACGCTGAAAAAAAAACCAAAACCAATTTATTTTATATGCCTTGCTAAAAATGCACTGAATGGTGCTCTTAAGGAGATTTGAGTTGCTGAATTGTTTCAGTATCATTACAGTTTTTTTTGTGAGCTGATTAGATATCGCAAAGCCCAAAGACTAAATAAATAATGGACTACTTTATGGACGTAATACACCGCTTCAATATTACTAGCGCTAAATTAACACTGGAAGTAACTAAGCAATATCACATATATGCTATATATGTGTATGCAACACCTATACCGTTTCAATTAACTTTTCATCGACAGCTTGATTTTTCAAACAAAGCAAGCACGTGTACCGACAAGCCTAATGGCCAAACAAATTATCTGCCGAAGCTCATCCCTTCGAACCAATATTTCCTTAGCTAATATTGCTAGTCATTTTATGTTTTTTCCGTAAACGCGCTACCTCTGCTTTATGGGGGTAGCAAGGGAGCGTGTTTAACACGTGACCAATGCTTGCAGTCATGTGCGAGAAACGGCTATTGTTTAAAAATCATTAGAATGCATTATTTAGTAATATCGTGCTGTTACAACATATCTGGTAACAAATTAGTCGTAACAAATGTGTGTCTCAAAAACCAAACCGCTTAACAATATAACCATGAAGGAAAGTGGGTAATATAATAAAATAAAAAATGCTTTGTTTCTAATTGCAATCCAATTAGTTTTTTATATACATATACATACAATTTTTTTTTCAAAATGCACGGGTTTTTTAGAAGCTACCATGTTCTTGTCAAATTTTTATTCAGTTTTTAGATTTCTTAATTAAAAAAATCTATCCTATTCCATTATTTAACTATGTAAGGATTCGACGCTGTGTTCGGAAAATTCATCTAAATTAAAACATGAATGTTTGGTAATTTTTGTAAGGCATTCGTAAGGCAACAATAATGACAATAATAGTTGCGTATTCCTTTACGAGAAAATGAAAAATACGAATCTGAAACCTCGTATCATTTCAATATTATAAAAGTTCAAATAATTAAAGTAAAAATTAAATATATTACGAAATTAATTATACCGGTTCAGTTCTTGCAGCGACATCTCTAAATCAATTTGCAGCCTGTTAAAATCAAGCGTCCCTTGGCGTAGAACCCTTTGTCATCCCTTTTTGACTCGACTATTGATTTTCTTACACTTACTTCATGTGCGTATAGGTGGCGCCAACGTCAGAATTTTATTTGCCCGCTAAATTCCACCCAGGCCGTGAAAGACATTTAATTTTCTATGAAAAATTCGGCGCTTGATTATTCTACCAAGAATCGACATTTTTCTATTGGAATATTAATTTTGAATTTAATGGATATTTATAAACTTTAAATTTGTAGGGAGCGTGTAACTGAAAACACGTTTATTAGGTGGTACTAAGATTAGTATAGTAGGTATAGTATTAGTATTGTCTTTTTATGAAATTCTTTTTTAAATTTTTAGTGGTACGTATTTAAATAAATAAAAGAAAAGTTATTAATTGTTTTTCAAATTATATTTTCTCAATTAACTTAAATACAAAAACAACATAAATGCCAATAAATTAAAAAACTATATACAAGCATTAGGTAACATTTTTAACAAGTCACAAGCAGCTTCCCTGTCGTAACACTATTTTTACAAGCTTCTCTCTAATATTTGTATTTGTACATAATGTATTGTCAATATCTTTAGGTTTTTCTTCGGAACAATAAAAAGGTATATAAATATATGAATAACTTATATTCATATTTATATGTTTCGCTCTATAATCGCTGTTTGCAAGTCAATGTGCGTGCAAATTATTTGGATAATAAACCAAAACCGTAAAACTTTTGCAAATAATATCTATTTTCTTGAAAATGATATTTAGTTCAGAACCTTACTCTCTGATTTTCGTTGTTCAAGATTTGGTTCACATATCAGCTGAGTCATTGATTTATTAGGATAATAATCTGTCAAAATGGTGACGATGATAGAGTTTATAGCTTTGGCTTGATTTAACAAAATTTGAAAAACCAGATCTGGCTGACTTCTAACGAATTAATATTTGGTTTTCGGCTGAATTTCGAAAAATAATAAACATAGCGTCAATGAAATTGGAAGGATTTGAGTAAAGTTTGAACCTCACGTAAATTATTATCCATCCAAAAATGATGAATTGTCTGCAAATAGAAAAGAAATATTAATTTTACATAAATTGGAGGAGACCTCGGCAGGTCCATTGTGCTTCCTCCTGGACAGAGCACTCGGTTTTACATCAAGTCAGGTGACTCCAAGTAGGTAATGACAAAGTTCTCTCCCTGATTACAGTGGGGCATGGATATGATTCGCCAATCATGGCTTGTCGCTTAAACGAGAGGTTAGGACATTCGCACAGAATGCGGAGGCAGCAGTAGAACACTGTCTGGTCTTCCTATTCGTACACCCTGCACGTGGGGGTGCTACTCAAGGTCAATCTGAATTGGTTTTGTTAAGTAAACAATGAACCGTATCAAGACCTGTGGCCGATTCTTCAAATTTTGAGTGTTTTAATTTAAGGCGTATTCACCATTATATCAAGATTTATTTTCTGGCTGTGAGAATTTACAGAAAAATCGGATTTGCCGCAGAATTTAGGTCTAGGAGAATAATTATTTGTTAGCAATCAAAAATCAAAATGAAATATCAGATTCAAGTATGTTAGGCAGTAATTAATGCAATACATATTGGAATATTTTCCAATAAACAAATGAATAGAAAATTATGATCGAACCCGAATCAGTGCTTATGATTATAATTAAATCAATAAATTCAAATTATAAAATATTTTGAGTTGTGAGCTTTTTTATTACTTCCTTATGTGTAAAGTAAAACGCACATAAACGGGATATGCAAGAAAAACCTGAAGATTAACATTAAAATGATTCTCTAGGTGGTAACATTATCGACATAGGCTGTCGTCATTGTCTGAGACACATACTCCATGCGGCGAAGCTAAGAAAAGTTTCCCGCTCTCACAGGCACACAACTGGAACACGTTGAAATTTCTCTCGTTATTCGCAAGTGATATTTTCGCAGTTGGCAAATGAGGAACCACGACAGATGAGTGAAGGTGAATCGCGCCCCCGAAGGTTTCGAATTTGATGTCGTTGAACGCGTGGGAGACTATTTGCCCACCTCTGGATTCCAATGTAATGCCTTGGGGACCTTTTATGGAAAGAGTGCTAGTCGGCGATTCTAATCTGTAAATGTAGGAGAACACGCAGTTAGAACAACCGTAAATTATTATTTCTTGAGCGAGAAAGGTCGTGATTTTGGAGTTAAGGGATGTTAGGACTGAAGATAAGAGAACACACCACCACCAGCGGAGACAGGGAATCTTCCTTAACAAAGAAAAGAAAACATTTGTTAAAATATATGGTATATCTAAAATAAATAAGAATTAAAACTTCAGATTTTCACGAAATTATATATTTTTACATGACAATTGTTTCGACAACACCGTGCCTTTATCAAATGTTTCTAAAAAACCAAATAATTGATTTTGCGGTGCATCTTCAGTAGAAGAAAAGGGGGTATGACCCTTGGAAATAATCTCCCCGCACATTTTAATAATCAGTCATCATGCTGGATGATATAAGCCCTATAGTGTAACTAACATATGCTTTAGTTTTGATCTAACTTCCCTAAAAACTGCTATAAAGTATAAAATAACAAGATCTTCAAATATCAGGAAAGAAAGGGAAATCTTACTACTCTCAACTCAAAAATATGTCCTGATCTTTTAAACAACTTTGAATTTAGTTTTTAAAGATAAATTTATGAATCGCTTTCGACTTATTATTTTAAAGCTGTGTCAACCAAACAAAATAATTTATTCTCATTTTCACAATTTAATCGTATACAAATAAAATCTATATAAAAAATAGCAGAACGAAAAGTAGCAAGCAAATGAACTTCTCAGCCACGGCCAATAGCAGTTAATAGAGGAAAAAAGGGAAAGATGTATAGCTTATAAGCTGTAGATAAGGATATGAAAGTGGAGTTCCCAATAGACAGAGTGTTTGATCACATAGGTCGGTATATGAAAATAATTGCTCTGAGGAGTTCATTTTGGTTAGTTTAAGTTGTGGATCCAACTAGTTGTCTTAACGTGTCTAAAATTACCTTAAGTCATGGCCGCTCTCAGCTCTAATTAAAGTGGCTTGGACCGAACCCCTAAAACTACTACCCCCTTCGCCCGTCACCCTCAGAGTGTCTGCGCCTATCGTTATACCATTTCGATCCGCTGAGAACAGCGAAAACCCTCTATCATCGAGAATGTTGAAATTATTTGACATACACTCGAACTGATCCATGCCTATAAAAAAATGGGCATTAGTTTTAAATTAAATATGTTATATATTTGATACCTAAATAAATCCAACTGCTATGGTATCCATTGCTAGATCTGGATTTAAGCGTTACATTTCTACTTGATTCTACTACCACGGGGTCACCCCTTCGAGATCTAATTTGAGTCGCTATGAGATTTTCTAGAACGTATGCATTTCCTTTCAGCTTCAATCCTCCCGGTATTATTTCGAGATGACCCATGCCGTCCTGAAAAAAAACCCATATTTGAGAAGAAATTGTGTACAGAATTAAGGATACATAATTACAACAATTAATAACAATTACAATATTAATAAAGCGGCTTTATTTTTTTTTAGGTACATACATACAAAATATAATAATGGAAGCATAAAGGTTCTCTCTTTCCTTTCGGCTACGAGTTGTGATGAACGAGCTGAATGTCCTGAATGTGTTCCAAAAAACTTGGCTAAGCGGGCATGGGAACATGATCACAGATGCCTTCTTCCAAAATTTATTTCGTACAAAATAACAAATTCTCTAACTAAACGCTACTGCTATAATACCTTACCTTATACCACTACTAATTTACATATCAGTTTGCGATTTATATTTGAGCGCTCAAAGGCCTCACTTCTAGACTGACTAGCGAGCGAGTCGCTTTTATAGAGGGCAGCGAATATTTCAGTCCTCTTCTCGGAGGCGTAAGCTGTGATCACGCTCCGATTTCCGCGGACTCGAGTTGTTAAAGAAACTAGAGAGCTATGGGTTTCAAGATAATTCGTTAAAATGATAGGTGGGAGGTGGAGGTGGCGTGTATGTATCGCTAAAAACGGTTCACAATGTTTTTCCAAAATAATAGGCGCCAGACAGGGACTACGTGCCACTATTCGCTTTCATGGACGGTATCCGATATGCTCCAGGTTTACCTGTTTGAAGCCCGGCCCGATAAAACATGTCTCATTATTTTTGGGAAATCATCTGTTAAGAATTATTCTCTATATATTAACTTGAACGGCAAATAAATCCGAACGGTCAGAGAATGGCAAAACCCACCCGTTTACCTGACAGTGTTCTACCTTTGTCTATTACGCCCCGGAGTCGTACAGTCGACAGAGATAGCGCCAATTACCGGATTATTACAGGAGTTTCCACTACGAAACAAGGTACCGTTTTTGAGAAAATGCTGCCAAAAATCGAAAGGTTGTCTTTAATTATTACAGTTAATGTACGATACCAAATACATCGACAATAAGAGAAGAAAGTATCAGTTATTCTTAAATATGAGTTGTTAAAAATTGACAAAAATTACAAAACAAACCAAAACAACACAAAAACAAAAAGTTTAAGTTAATTTTATATTTAATGGCATAGAATTTTTTAATAAAAATATTAGAAGTGACACTGCAGTAGTATCTGTTTGGAAAATAGCTCCCCAGACAGTTTCCAAAGAAAATTGGAGTAGTTATATAACACATACAGAAAATGTAATAAAAAAATACAGGGAAAAAAGAGAATGCGCTTGATATAACGGTACCACCACTTCAAAAGGAAGGATCATCTTCTGGTAGTAGCAATTCCAATTTTGGCACTGACGATGAAGATGCTTCATCGTAAATACCAACTAAATATGGTTTACTTGTATATTTACTCTTGGAAAATTATATTTTATACGATATGATGTGTTTCTTTTAATTTTTCGATTTTTTGTTATTATTTTAATTTTTATTGCATGGACAGAGTTTTGGAAAATAGTTTATGTAACAAATTATTTGATGTAGATTCCCAGACTTACATATTCGCATACCCTGATCTATTATTACATAGAGTTTACTGAGTATGGTCGTACGAGTTAAATAAATGAAAGCTGAGTACCACTGATTCTGTCCGTCTTACAAGTACTATGCTATGCCATCATAAATCGTACCGACTATAATAATATTGTGTAATTTCCTTTAATTCTTTGTAATCTTAGAAACGTTACCTGTACTAGGCGGAATGATGGGGTCCAGTCATCTTCGCGATATTTAAAATTGACTCTTAATTGCTTTGGTTGGTTATTTCAGCTATTTTTTTTAATATAAAAAAACAGGCAAATTGACCGCGTTTTCAGCACTTGACTATTTCGCTTTAATGAAAAACTAGCCTTAGACAAAGGCATTTTGTCACTGCTCTCATGAATTTCTTTCAAAGAAATCCAATTATTTTTGCTTTTTTTAAATGGGCATTAACACAGTAACGCAGTATTCCAATTACGGAGTTTTAATTGCGAATGATTCGAAAAAAGGTCGCCTTTTAGGGCGGTTTCGGGTCGGCAGCTTATTCTTTATTCGGCGAACATCTTTATTCCGAGGATCTAGGTCCTTAGGCCATAATTAGCGGACTTTGTAACCGTGGTCTGTCGCCTCCACTCCTAACGACCCGATGCCATATACGATCCTTATGTTTCGTATATTCTATCGAGACAATGATAAAATCTTATGTTTCTTATTACGTTAACCTGAAGTCATGGCCAACTGGGACTAATTTTTGATGTTAAATATCGAGAAGAGGTATTAAGGATTTCTTTAAGAGTAAAGTGTCAACGAATTCTTATTCAGGACTACATAAAACCCAACTATATTAATTTCCACAAAGTTCGAATACAGGGTGCTCGAAATATCACGGCCGCCTCGCTTAAGCACTTCTGCAGAATGTTTGTTTATAGCTCAATTTTGATAATTTTTCTTTTGCTGCATAGATTTCACTGAAAGACACTAACGATTTTCTTAAATGATAGATATGATTAGGGAGGACTACATATGAACTAAACAGACTTTTCAAATTAGTATTTTTCTTTAATTAAAAATAATTTTTAAATATCATCTTATAGTGAAAATAATAGAATTCACCAATTCATCCAATTCACTCGCTAATATTTATTTTAATAAATTATAGAATTCTATAAACAATCTAATAATCTTAACCGCGACTCAGAGAACCATTTAGCTTCGCCCCCCCTCAAACAATATATAAGCAGGTACAGAGTAAAATACGAGCCAGTTTCAGTCAAGCTCTGAAGAAGCCAACAGGATGATTGGCGAAACGTCAGCTATTCGACTCAGCAATCCAGAAGTTTTGTAAAAAGTTTTTTAATTTGGTTTGGAAAATAAGTATCGCTAATTTATCTTTGCGAGAAAAAGTGGTAATTGTACATCTAGTTGGTGATGGTGTAAAATTTTTCAGTAAAGTTGCAGCCGAATTTAAGAGAAGATATCTTGGCGAAATATAAATCACAGTACAGTTGCGAACACCAATAGACATTTTGATCACAACGGGACTGTTAATAAACTCACCAACCGACATCGCATCGCAGATAATTCTTAATTATTTTAATGAGAATCCCCGATGCAGTATCCAGTGCTAGGGGGGCAAGTGTAAACTTACATATTTTCAAAAACTGCATCTCGAGACAGTTGAAAAAAGTAGAAAAAAGGCTTTCAAACCCAAATTCCTGCATATTCTTGAATGTGGTGACAGCGAAAGAAGAATGGAGTTTTGTCTATGGCTGCAGGGTATATACTTAGAAAATCTCCGGTTCCTGAACAATATTTTGTACACTAATGAAGCAGCATTTACTAAAAACGGTATGGTTTCATCTTAGGATATTAGAATCTCGAATGAAGAAAATCCTCATTAGATGACACATTAGGTGAACGTCTGGTGTGGAATTTTAAACGAAATGACAATTTGACATATACATTTTTCATGAACATTTGAATGGGATAACTTTCCCCTTCGATTTTTAGATAATGAACTTAGTCGTGAAATTGATGAATTACCTTTTGAGAATCGGTCCAATTTGTATTTGCAGCTTGATGGTGCTCCTATCCATATCTCGGCTGGTGTAAGGAATAGGTTGAACCAAAATTTTCTATGTGGGGGACATTAAAACGTAAAGTTTATTTATCACGGCAAAGGAAAACCTTTGCATTCGAATTAGAGAAGCTTGTCGGAAAAGCAGTTAGCAATAATCAAACGCGCATTGAAAGTGCATAGAGAAAAATTGTGACCTGACCGAAATAACTAATATGTCATTTCAATTTTGTTTTAAACAATTTCGTTTTTTTCAAAAAATTCATTTGCTATTGGTGACTAATTTTTATTATATTAGTCTGTCGAATATTCCAACGATCGCGGAAACTACTTTTTCCTTAGTATAATTGAAGAGATAGATATGTTAAAACGCATATTAAAAAGTCCTGAGTGTCTGAAATCGACTTTTCATGTTTTAAGTAGGTCTACAAACTTCATATTATTTAATATGGTCCTTGTTTTTCTTTAAAATGTTACCTTAAACTTCCAACTAAGAAATATTATGGGTTTGATTAAATAAAAACTACAATTAACCGGATTTTTGAAGGGTTCATTGCTTAGTCGTTTAAGAGAATTAGTATCTACATTATGGCTTTCAAATACCATATATTTATTAATGTACAAATGTATAATGTCCCTTAAAAAATGTTTCAAGTCTCTTTTATCATTCTTTTTGAAATTTGAATAATTAAAATTTGTAAGATCTTACAATCACATACAAAATAATCGTTAATTACAAGGTTTAAAATATTTATTTAAAAAAAATCTCTAAATGATACTTCTCGATTTTTCTTTTCCAAAGACTATGCCAGTTGGCCATGACTTTAGTCGATGCGATAAGAAAACACCAGCTTCAGTGCCTTTTAGTAAAATCTACCCAACAACAAAAAATTTTAATATTGATTAATGTTTAAGCGAGGCGCTCGTCATATTTCGAGGACCATGTATTCGAATTTCATGGTTTTATGTTGCCCTGAACAAGAATTCGTCGATATTTTATTCTTAAAGAAATCCCTAATAGCCTTTCTCGATATTTGACATCAAAAATGAGTCTCAGTTGGCCATGACTGCAGGTTCATGTAATAAGAAACATAAGGTTTACTGCGTTTTTGGGAGATCTATCCAATAAAAAGGATCAAAATTAAACCATAATCAAAGATTCTGCAACGCTATGCGTTAAGTGGGTCGCAAACGATATTTCAAACAAGTCCCTGAAAGAGAATTCTTCAAAATTAATTTAATTTAATCAGTACTAGTACTTTTCTTTGCTCTCTCTTTTGTTGAATAGCCTTAGTTGGTCAGGACTTTAAGATTTTAGTGCATTTTTCAGATATTGAACTGAGATGGCTTTTACTTGATGAAAATCCATTTATTAAAATAACTAAGAACTAAAAGTTCAGATTTTCACGAAATTATATATTATGACATGACAATTGTTTCGACAACACCGTGTCTTTATCAAATGTAATATTTACAAACTACCTGCTACTATATATACCGAAAAATGACCATAAAACCTTAATTAATGTTGTGTGAGAATTTAAGTTCAATAAAGGAGAGGTATGTCTCATTTTGTAATTGTAATTTTCTACTTTTTGTGGCTGTGTGTTGTCGTAGAAAATGTGTTTTTCTGTGTTTGAGTGTGTAGCATAATTAGAATCTAAGCTATTGTTTTTAGACGCTCTTTTATATTCGTTAATGCGTTTCTTGAAGGATCTCCCTGTTTGTCCAATATAAATTTTAGGACAAGATCGAAATTTTGACCTGTAGACACCTGATTTTTGGGATTTTGGACATTTCGTTTTACTGTTTTTTAAATATTTGCCTATTGTGTTGTTAGTTCTGAAGGCGATTTTTAAACCACATTTTGACAAATGTTTTGAAACTTTTTCACTAGGTTCTCCTATGTATGTAATTGTTTTAAATTGTTGGTGTCCTGTATTTGGTTTCGGATAAATAGAGTTTACTGTTGTCTGTATTTGTTTTTTGTTTATAATTTTATCTATAATGGACGGATTGTAGCCGTTGTTCAGTGCAATTTGATATCTATAGAACAAACAAAATTATCAATAATTATCAAAATCGAACCATAAACAAACATTTTACAAGGGTGTAATGATAAATGGGCAATTTTGCTTTAAAATTATTTCTGAACAAAATCACTTGCAACAATTCGTGGACATTTGAAAATTCATAAGGTCCTTAAAACAGAGAGAGGCTGAAACATTTCCCAATCCATTTCCAATAATTCTCCACATATTGTAAAAGTGATTTAAGTTGCAATGAATGAAGTCAGTAATAGCTGGTTCTATTTGGACGAAGAGCATAATCTATCAATTTTTCACTCATACCAAAGTCAAGAAAAAGTTGCAAAATATGCATTTTGTCAATTGTTTCTTTTTTTAATATGGGTTTTTTTTTACTTGTAAACGAAAACATTTCAAGGGTCAACATATTGTAGTTTTAGTGGCTTATCCAAAGTAAATAATAAAATTTTTAGAATAGTCAGTGGCGTACAGTACAGGCACTAATATTAAAGACCAATGAAGATATGGCTACATAAAACTACATAGAAATACGATTCTCTACCCATTTCACTCAGTAGATACGAACGACAGAAAAAAGTAAAATTGAAAAGTTGCATAGTTTCGTCTAAATTTCTAATTTTTCGTCCGGGGTAAATACCAGCTTCCTTTTCTTCAAATGGAAAACCCTATATTTCATTGTGTTTTTGGTTTTCCCTGGAAATTCTAGACATATTTTATGTATAATGTCCTATACCTAAGTCTAATCGTTTTCGACTAATCTTGCATTTTATATCTAAAATAATTAACAATTTTCCCTATAAGGGATTAAATTAAATTAAAAACGTAAAATGTCAACCTTTTTAAATGTCGTCTATTCCGGAAATTTATAGTTTCTGAAATAATCGTCAATTTTACATTTTCTGATTGTAATAATACTATAATACGGCGTTAAGTTTTGTTATAAGTTAGCAGCGACGATGGGACACACGCGCATACCACCTATTTTTATTGTTTGATTTAATTAATCAGAAAATAATAAATTCAATTTATGAAATTGTTTTATTGAAAACAACTAAAGTATCGCTTTAACCACGAGATAATTCCAGAGAAAATAAGAAGAAAAGAGGAATTCCCGGTAAAATGATAATAGCAATAATTTTAATAATAATAGTAATTATTTTTTGAAGAATTGAACGTCATTTGAGGGATCATGGCGTTTTAAAGTATAAGAAAAGGGATAAGATTTGAAAGATTCTCCTGCCAAAGCAGTATTCTAAATTATTACATTAGATATGTAATTATTACATTTACATTACAAATTTAAAACCAAATAAATAAAATGCCAAAACTTGAAGTTCCAAATAGCCCTCATTTTTAGCAATACAATACTAATATTAAGTTGTCCATTATTTCGCAATAAATTTCGGAAGTTGACAATATTATATACCTCAATTTTCAACGCCAAATCGGATAAAATTATAAAAACAGTGCTTTTCCTAACCTAAAAATACAAAATGAAATAATTAAGGCTCCCTTTTACGTTACGTTAACTATTTGGGGACCTGCATACGCCATTTTTTACATAAAATTCAAGATTCAATATATCTAGAAAATAAAAAAGCTGGTATTTACCCCAGATGAATGAAACCGCCTGTATATATGAAAAAAAAATATCTATATGAAACCATTCAATTTTACTATTAAACTTTTCTTGAAGGGGTAGAGACCCTTGTTTCGGGCATTCTGTTCACCCTGTACACATTTGCCTTAAGTAATAAGCAATTTCTGGTTTTTCGTCGCGTTTTCAAATACGAGCAAGTATTTGAGGGTTTTTCTGTTGTAGCGCAGAAAAAAAGACAAAAAAACACACACGTTTAATCGATGGCTGAAGACTTACCGGTGAAAAATCCATCACTTTTAGTACCCATAGCGTTAGGGCTAAGTTTACAATAACCATAAAGAGCAACGTTAGAATGAAACCGTACATGCACTTTTTTCTCCAACCGAAAAGTCCTATCCGGATTCCTTGATGGCACTTGTTGGTCGATAAAATAATTGACGGATCGCTAGAAGCATCGATGCGTGATTGATGATCCGGCAACGTTGCACCCTCGTCTTCATTTTTTTTCATCCTGCAAAAGGAAAAACTATCTTAAACAGTGATTGTCGCGTTCGATAAGTGTAAGCATGGGGAAAGCATCTATGATACAGGGTGTATAAATAATTGAATTACATTAATTAACACGTGGATTATCACTCATAACGTTAAGCAAAACGTGTTTTGGAAATAATTTTCCACAAGCAGCGGTTTCCAAGTTCTTTTATTGTGCTATGAAAATCACGACCCCGGTTCTTGCTACCTGGATCCTTCCTTCCGGTAAGTTCCCCCCTGTCCGACCCCTCTTTCGGCCCCCAATCCCATTTGGTCCTAATTAGTTCCTGCACCCGACATTGAAAATTTAATGTCCGGCACTTTGCTGGAAGCTTCAGTCTTGGCTGACCACGTGTTGAATCGATATTCACGACGAGCGTCCATTTTTGGGCCATTTGTTTTAACTTATGTAAAACGCTCGAAAAATACATTCATAAATCTGCTACCTTCTACACAACTCTTCGCAAAATCTATTTAGGGGAGACTGGCATAGAAATATTAAAAATACTTAGTTTTTTCTCAAAGTGAAGACGTAAAACTGAAAAAAAAACTAGAGTGACTTTCCAAAAATCGAGCCGTTATACCGTTTCCCATCTTTCCCATATTTAGATCATGGTTTTCTGGTCGCTGTGATTAAACATGCATGCGTCATCTAATCATTGAGTTGAATACAATCGCGAGAGTTTGTGAATTCGGAAAAAGTACTACAATTTCTATTAACCTTGCTGTAAATTGTTTGACAAATGAGAGCACGCTGTCCAAACTTATCTACATTATTTAGCTTGTAGTGTGAAAATCAAAGCTTTACATTTAGAAACATTTAAAGTTAGTTTATTGTCAGTGGAGCATTCCTGCAAACTGCCTTTGGAAGCTGATGGAGTTATCAACACTAGTAATAATATTATTTTTAGCTCATCAGCAAACAGCAAGGCCAGGTAAGTAAACAACTCTGCAATATCATTAAAGAACATCGAGAACAGTAAAGGACCAAGATTAAACCCCTGTGGAATCTCTGACGTGGCATATGTGGCCATTGCCGAGTTCCTGAACCAGGTAGCACTGAGTTAGAGCTAACAGTAACTAGTTTGTTTAATTTTATCGGTCATTATTCGGTTAAACTCTTCTAATAAGTGTTGGCATCGTCTTGGACGAAGGTTTCAAGGTTGGATGTTATCGTGACACTTAATTCCATCGTGTTTATCCGTTTATGTGCGTATCCGGCATTATTCCTTGCAGGTTTGCAATTAAATCGCATTATTCTCAACGGAGTTTGCATGCCACTGGTCCCGAAAATGTTTTATTTGTCCATCACGAAGAAGGATTAAACAAACGTGTCTTCAAATACGGATTCGGCATTTCGTCGCAGTCAATATTTGCGTCCTCTCTTGAAATATTCATGTTCGTGTCTGATACTCGGATCTGGGGATGTTTGGAAGACTTTAGGGGATGCCTCGTTTCATAATGGACTCATTTAATAGGAGTGGGTGTTGGGGTAGGTCTACAGTAACGTCGAACAATACAGCTTACGTATACCGGAAACAATAGGAACACCGATAGGGAAATTTCAAATCGGAGGTAAATACGTAAAAAAAGAATTAGATTTTCCTCCGTCTTTTTTACTGAAGGCTAGTCTGGACGTCAAATATAAGGTTGTTCGGAAAGTCATTTCGTTTTTTCCCGTCAGAGGACTTAATTACGTTTTTCCGAAACCAACTTCACACTTAAGCCGCATAACCATTATATGTCTTGAGAGTTGATATTGCAAGGCTTGTGTGTGAAAAAGTTCTATTAATTCTACGCAGTAGTTTTTGGTTGGTGCCCTTTTAAATATGGAGAGCAATAAGCAGCATTTTCGTCATATTTTACTTTTTTACTTCAGAAAAGGTAAAAATGCTGTCCAAGCGAGAAAAAAATTGACGGATGTGTATGGAGAAGGCGTGTTAACAGTACGCCAGTGCCAGAACTGGTTTGCAAAATTTCGATCCGGCAATTTTGATGTCGAAGATGCACCACGGTCTGGAAGGCCGGTCGAAGCTGACAAAGATGCGATAAAGGCATTAGTTGATGCAAATCGGCGAATAACCACACGAGAGATCGGTGAGAGATTAAATTTGTCGAATTCGACTGTTTATGGCCATTTGAAAGGCATGGGCTTAACCTCGAAGCTCGATGTGTGGGTGCCCCATGTCCTTACGGAGCCAAATTTCTGTCGTCGCGTTGACGTGTGTGATTCGCTCCTCAAACGTCAAGAAAATGATCCATTTTTGAAGCGGATTATTACTGGGGACGAAAAATGGGTTGTATACAACAATGTTAAACGCAAGAGGTCATGGAGCGGAAAAGATGAACCGGCTCAAAGCGTGTCAAAAGCCAACATTCACCAAAAAAAGGTGATGCTCTCCGTTTGGTGGGATGTCAAAGGAATCGTTTTTTTTGAGCTTTTGCCGGACAATACAACGATTAATTCAGAAGTCTATTGTCATCAACTGGACAAATTGAATGATTCACTTAAAGAGAAGAGGCCCGAATTAATCAACAGGAAGGGTGTAGTGTTCCACCAGGATAATGCGAGACCTCACACAAGTTTGGTCACACGCCAAAAACTTTTACAGCTTGAATGGGACGTATTGCAACATTCACCATATTCTCCAGATCTGGCGCCTTCCGACTACTATTTGTTCCGGTCCCTGCAAAATTTTTTGGATGGCAAAACCTTTACCTCAAATGAAGATGTCAAAAACCACCTGAACCAGTTTTTTGCCAGCAAGGACCAAAACTTTTATGAGAGGGGAATTAGGTTACTGCCAGAAAGATGGCAAAAGGTGTTGGACCAGAATGGCCAATATATAATTTAATAAAATATTTATTCATTATACGAAAACTGTCTTTCATGTTCCCCAAAAAAAACGAAATGACTTTCCGAACAACCCAATACATAAAATATATACAATGCTTTTTGTCTACTTCTTTTTCGGAATTTTCAATAAAGATGAAATGAAAAGTTGAACGAATGAATGAATTAATAGAGAATTTATAATTTTACGTTTTGTATAATATTGTGTTTGGAAAGCAAAAGTATGAGGGCTTTTAGACTAAACTAATTATATTACCTTGACCCGAAATTATGAAATGAAAATTTCTAACCCTGGTTAAATATTGTAAGGCGTTTATTAAATTTGTTGGAAAAAATCTAGAGAGGGATTAATAAAATTACGTTTAAAAGAAAAACAAAGCAATCTGGCATAGCAAATATCACAAAAAATGGTTTCCAGTCACTAAACAATAATAATAATAATAGTATGTTCTCGATAACAAAACTATTTTTAAATGGTTTTCAAATAGACAGAGTTTTTAACTCCAAGGGCAGATTCATCCGATTAGCAAAATTCTTGAACCGGCAGACGCAGAAGATCCAGTGCAATAATATTTATTTCAGGCATTGTTATATCGTAAAAAATATGACAAGTTGGTTCAAACGGTGTTATGGGCCTCATCAAGAGCTACAATTTTTGTATTTGCGATTTGCGTCTATCACATACGCTGCTCGGGATATTTGAGAAAATCCATATTGAAATCGTTATTTCGAGGGCTGTCAAGACGCGATGACGTCATTGATTATTACGGCACCCTGCATGGTTTCAGGAAAAACTTATTTTCTCGAAACCATTCATTTACTATTTTCAAAAAATTCTTGAACCAGGAAACGTGGAAAATCCAAGGCTCTAACCTCTACTTCGAACAATGATTGAATCATATACGGGGTGTGTCGTTTATGGGCAAAAATCTAAAATATCATAAAAATTTCAATTTTTGTGAGTAAATTATTGGCGATAAATGAAAGACCGTTAAAGATGGGATAATTTTATTTGAACAGTATCGTAAACCGTGTCGTGAGAGAGTTTCGGGTTTCGCCAATTATACGGGGCGCGAGATATTTGAAAAAACATCATTCGACAACGGTATTATTTGTGCAAATTTTAATATTTACCGATGTTTGCTGTAACTTTAAATTTCGACGAGATGTGAAGGACATTTTATACAGTGCGTCCCTTTACCCAACCAAACCTGCTTTGAGTTACGCGCTACGAACGCTAAACAGATTTTGATAAACCTTTTTTTCCAATCCACGAAGCACTTCTGGTAAGCACTTTTTGGTATAGCCTTGAGTCCTTACAAAGATGTTTTCTTTATCTCCTTAATCGTTCCAAAACTTTCATCGATTTCTTGAGTTTTGGGAACAGGAAAAAGTCCCAGTTGAATATGGTATGGGGTATGATTATGGTTTTGTTTTGGGCTAGGCAGGGTTAGACACAAGCAACGATGAGCGAAAAGATGCATTATCGTGATGCAAAATCCATGCTGGGCGTCCAGAGCGCGGTTCGTCATCGACGTCTTCTCGGGTATCATGGTACAGCTTGTACCACTTATAAACATTTTTTTTTACTCAAAGTAGATCCACCATACGCCTTTCTCAACATTTCAAGTGTTTTGCAGCACTCTATTCCATTTTTTACACAAAATTTTATGCAAATTCTTTGTTCCAACTTCTTCGCCGAGTACACAAAACATATCTCACGCTTCTGTTTTTTTTTTTTCATTTTTTTCTTTTTGGACAACCGACCATCGACAATATTTTTTCCGGAAAATATAAACTAAAACAGTACAAAAAAGCATCATAAAAACTCTTAAAAGCACTGTCCAGGTTCGTCTCGGAATAAACATGAAACCAATTCTCCAGACGAACGGATTGCCTAAAATTCTGAATTTTCGTTCATCCTAATTAACTAGCGCTTGGTTAGAATAAATTAGTTATCCCTAAGAATAAGTTAAAAATCAAAGGTAAATTATTTAAGTTTTGTTGGATTTCGGTCGAACGACGAATGACACTATCCCGCCAGTTCCAGGGCAAAGTGTTTTGGACTTTGAATTACGGGCGACATGCTGCGCTAAATTTTCCATTTCCTACGGGATTCCCGCCCA